ATGGGCTTTCTTAGACGAGTCGCTGGCCTTACGCGTCTCGACATGGTCCGGAACAGTGGCATCCGGAAGAACCTTGGATTACAGCCTTTGCTTCCCCAGATTGAGAAGTCACAGCTACGATGGTCTGGGCATGTGTTGCGAATGTCTTCAGGCAGGAAGGATAAACAACTATTTCTTGCCCAACCGTCCGGCAGAAGGCCCAGGGAACGGCCAAGATTAACTTGGTGGAAATATATGGAAGGTATCTGTTCGAGGCTCCAGTTGTCCTCTGCCAAAGCTCAGACTCCGGCACAGGATCGGGAACGTGGGGAAGCACTGTTACGCGTCTGCATCCCCGACCTGAAGAGAGAAGCGGTAATGGAATATATGTATATAGATCCGTTGTCTGTTTAAATGATCCCGAAATACGATTAGTAGTGCGTTTACGTTGAGGAAATCTGGTATCAGAAATTTAAGTGTTACGATAATCAGCGGAATTAAGAAGTTGCTATTGAAAGCTACTCTCGGACAATCAGTGTTATGTGTTGCATATTAACATCTTCTGACGCATTTTCATGTTTCTTCGACTTTTTTCCCATTGTTACTTATATCATGCGCTCGTTTGATTTAAATTCTTTTTGCTCACTGTTCGTGTATGAAATAACTCCAGTGTGTCATCACCAAGCTATTATGCAATGCCATATATCTGAACAGGTCTTGGACAAAATTTTCATAGCAATGATAGAAAGACTCCAATGAAAGTAAAGCGAAAGGGTGGGAGAGGAATTGAAATGGTATAACTTATGCTCCAGTCTTAAAGTTCGTTATCGGAATTGATTTAAATTAAAAAGTTTCAATTGCTACGTCCCCTGTTTCGATTAATTCAGAAATGAACAGAAAATTAATTCCCTACTGAAATTGGATTGCTTCTGTGGTAGGATTTATCACTGGTACAACCTCGATTCTTTGCTTGGAATGCATTGTTCAGTGTGCGCGCCTTAAATAATTCCAGTGCTGTTCACCAACTGACAACTGGTAATGTTGCTCATGCCTAAGATAAATGCGAATATTACAGTGGAATTAAACTGAGAGAAAATTAGCATAGTCTAGTCGATAGGTCAATAGTTCAATTCAGCAGTCAATTAGCAAGTTGAGATCATGCAAAGAATGTAATGATTTTAATTATTACATTACCAGATTTTAATATGGAACAAAATGTAATTGAATTTCGTTTAGAATTTTTCGGGCGGCTCAACTTTCTTCTGTGGCTTAGAAATAGCCCATTTTTGAATTGTAGCTTCTGCGAAGAAGAAGTAAAATACTGTAGCAAACCAGTAGATGGAAGTTGTTATATAAAAGACTTTTCTCCATGATTGAAACGATGGCTAAATAAATAAGATTTTCGCAATTCGCCTTAATTTGCTATTTACGAACTGGTCCTTCAGTCAGCACTGCTGTCACGTATGGGCCAGCGATACCCGCGACAGTTGCTAAAGTATTCGAAATACCCATCACGATTCCTGGAAGTACTTAGGTCAAAGAGGAAGTCAGTCACGCCTGTCTTACCGGCATAAGAAGGACATATGTCAAACAGGTTAGGTGCAAAGCCGCCAAGGCAAAATCCGGATATTCCGACCATTAAGACGAGCATAGCGACAGCTCCTGTCGGATTACAACCAAGAAAACCCACAATCAACAGACACACACCCGGTAGGAAATGTCCTAGAAATATTCAATGCAGTTCTATGATTTCAAACCGGTGTTTACTTACCGGTACAGTCACAGAATTTGCGAACGTAAACTGTTTTTACGTTAAAGCGTTCTCGTAACAGGTCTGCAATCTGACCAACGCTCAGCTGAACAACAATTATTGCAATATAAGGAATAGAAGACAGTAAGCCGTTCTAAAAGACTTTCGCAAGTGTGTAGTATAAAAATGCACTTGCCTACGGATCGCAAGTTGAAACCAAGCATCGTTTTAAAGTACTGAGGCAAGGTGGTCAGCAATATATAGAAACACCAATTGAAACTGAAGTGGCTAATGAAAACACACCACACCGGCGGTGATAAAAGTATCGAGGCCCATGGAACTTCAGTGAACTTGACTTTCTAAACTGTACATTTAAGTTTAACGTTATTTCTGCGAATCGTTCATCAAATGATTTCCACAATGGCACTGACATATTCATGTAAATCAAGGTTAGTTGCCGTGTATAAACCTATGTGATAATGATCAAGATGCAGGTTATTATTACCTTGGATATCGTTTGATCCCCTTTTATTTCTGCCAGTAGGGCTCCTGTGATGTAATTCTTTTCACTTGGCGTTATATACGGATGAGAATCAGGAGAACTTGACACCAACGAAACCCAAAAAAGAAACCACACAAAGCCAATTATTCCTAAATTGCATATAAGTTTTACAAACCAACGTGTATCTGGTACCTCCAACGTAAAATGGCAACGGCCAGCCGCCCAAAAACTCCGAGTCTGCCAAAACACCTGATGTTGCGAAGGAGAACACGGAGCCAAACATGACACCTAATTGAGAAGCGATAGTTACCATCCTAGATTAATGAATAAACTTTACACAACGTATCCTTAGTTACGTGTTTGTTAAGTCGTTCATTCCCTTGATTGGCTAGTGTATCGTACTTTCATCTTACACGGCAATTCGATAGGGTTCGGTCCTTAATCGGTTATGACGAAATTATATTTTCTTCAAATAATGGCTTGAGAATGAGCACTAATAAGTGCTTGAAAAAAATACTGGCGTATAGCTACTATACGATACGCGCAGTGGAAAAGCGACTAACGCACAACTCGTTGTACGTGAGGAAATGGTCTGATGTTTGAGATAACTCACTTTATCCTTAAAACAATTTTGAGATATAGGCCGAACGTTTGAATTGCTTATATTGCGGATAACCTCCCATATTTTCCTTTGAGCTTCTTCTTAATTTAGCCATCTCGATTCGCTATGTATGGCAAGCGTTGCATAGTTGTAATTAATATCACTGACGGATGATGCAAAGGCATAAAACGCTAAAAGTTATTTGATTATTTACGGTTTATGCTTTGTGCTGATTTTTAGTTAGCTATCAGGTGGGTAAAGGCGAATTGCAGCCGTGTAAGGAGCACAGTCAAAAGGAATGACTGTATTTCTTGAACGCTACGCTACATGAGCATACCAGGTACAAAGCTATTTCTATTGATCGCAAGTCAATGACTTGCCACCTGTTGCTTTTTGGCTGGTTGCCCCGAAGTAGAGGGGTAAATTCCTTGCTCAATGGAATTCGCAATTAATAAACGAAAATTCGCCCCGCGCTGGAAGCTTGAACCTGGCACCTTTAAAGTACAAACCGAACTACTAATCTGCTGCGTCACTGACACATTCTTGCTACTGTTGTCGACTTACGATAGGCAATTGATCTATCATGGAAACAGAATTAGAAAGTGAAGTAACTCTGACCTCAAGAAGGATTGTTTTTAATTATGTCAGGTGATTTGCAAAGTCTAATTCAACGATCTAATCTGAACTGAAATTTAAATAGTTCCTTCGGAA